ATTTCAGATCACCATTGCATTTTCTTTAACTTGTCAGTTTCTGCGTCCCCACCTCCTGCTCGCCGTATGGTTAGTTCTCGTTTTCTTAATGAGAGCACAGTTAGTAATTTTCTGCTGCTTTTGATCCACCGTGTTCTTCCGATAACGACCCAGATTCCTTAACTTCTCAGTTTAACGAGCACTGCCTCTCCATTCTGGACAACACCTGTCCTGTCAGAACCAGATCAGTTTCTGCAGTGAACCCTACTCACTGGTTTAATGACAGCCTTCGCAGCCTAAAGCGCCAATGCAGACAAATTGAGCGTTTGTGGAAGAAAACCCATCTCCACGTCCATCTGCTGCACCTAAAGGATCTTCTGACATCCTTTAACTCTGCAGTCAGAGATGCTAGGGTTTCCTATTTCTCCAACCTGGTGTCCCAGAGCAAAGGGAACTCCAAGGTGCTGTTTAACACCATCAGCAGCATCGTCTCTCCTGCCTCTCATACAGCCTCCATCCAATCTGTTGCAGACTGTGAGAACTTTCTTTGTGGACAAAGTCGATAAGGTTAGATCTAGCATCTCTCCTTCAGCCTTATCGCTGCCTCTCCCGACTCCAACCAGGCCCATCATCCTAGATAGCTTTGCTCCTGTTTCTTTGCTTGAGTTAACCAAACTAGCTAACTCTATGAAGACCTCTGCATGCCCCCTCCACATCTTACCCTCATCTTTGTTTAAAAGAGCTTTTCAGTCCATCGGGCCCAGCGTGCTCTCTATAATTAATGCTTCTCTGGTTTCTGGTCAGGTCCCTGCTTACTTTAAGAATGCTGTAATCCACCCGCTTCTTAAAAAATGAGTCTCGACCCCTCTCTCCACAGCAGCTTCAGACCCATCTCTAAACTTCCGTTCATCTCCAAGATCTTGGAAAAGGTTGTGGCTAAACAACTCACAGCTGCTCTTGATGAACAGAACATCTATGATTGCTTCCAGTCAGGTTTTTGTAGAGCTCATTCTACTGAAACAGCTCTTCTTAGGGTCTCTAATGACCTTCTGACTCACAGTGATGCAGGAGACTGTTCTGTTCTGGCCCTGCTGGACCTGACTGCAGCCTCTTGACACTGCTGTCCATCACCTGCTATTGGAGAAGCTGAGAGACTGGGTAGGCCTATCAGGAACTGCTCTTTCTGAGCGTTCCTTCTCTGTGGCCGTCTCCAAGTTTAGGTCCTCCACCACCTCTCTTACCCATGGTGTCCCACAAGGTTCTGTGCTGGGGCCTCTGCTCTTCCTCCTCTATCTGCTTCCTCTTCAGCACATCCTGAGCTCCTTCAAAGGAATCTCCTACCATCTTTATGCAGATGACATCCAACTGTACATCTCCTTCAAGCCCCATGAGATGTCTAAGCTGCAGCTGTTACACACCTGCTTAGACTATCAAAACCTGGATGGCTGGGAGCTTTCTTCAGCTGAATGAAGATAAGACTGAGATCCTCATCTGTGCCACAGACAAGCTGGTTCCCAAAGTCAGAGACTCTCTTGGTCAGCTTGCTTCTCACACCAAACCTTCCGTCAGGAATCTTGGCATGACCTTTGACCCAGCTCTCACCCTGGATTCTCATGTCAGTTCTCTTGTTCGCTCTTCCTTCTTCCATCTCAGGAACGCTGCTAAGCTGAGTCCCATTCTGTCCCGCTCTGAACTTGAGACAGTTATCCACTCCTTCATCTCCTCACGCTTAGACTACTGTAACTCTCTTTTCACGTGTCTGAGCAGAACCTCCCTGAACCGTCTACAGGTGGTTCAGAATGCCTGTGCTCGGCTTCTGACCAAGTCCTCCAAACACACCCACATCACCCCGCTTCTCCTCCAGCTTCACTGGCTGCCAGTCAACTTCAGGGTTCATTTCAAGATCCTGGTTCTGGTCTATAGGGCCATACATGGACAAGCACCATCTTACATTGGTGATCTTCTTAGTCCCTACACCCCCAGCAGGTCCCTGAGGTCCAGTGACCAAAGCCTACTGGTTGTGCAGCACCAGGCTAAAGACCAAAGGTGACAGATCATTTGCTGCTGTGGCCCCCAGACTCTGGAACTCTCTCCCCCTGAGCCTGAGATCAGTGGACTCAGTGGTCTCCTTTAAAAAGCAGCTGAAGACTCACTTGTTCAAGCTGGCTTTTGTATGACCTTCTTCACCACTCTCTCTTTATTCTGCTCTCCCCACCTATTCCACCTTCCTCAGGAACCACTGATTTCCCTCTTTCCTATTCACTCTCTTTCTTAACATTTTTTTTATCACAATTGTCTCTTTTTGCTCATTTTAAATATATATTTTAACCATTTTCTAAATGTTTTTTTTATATTTTTACATTTTGTGTTTTTGTGAAGCGCCTCGTGATTTTTTATCTTGAGAGGCGCTATAGAAATTATATTTTCTTCTTCTTCTTCTTTTCAGACACCAGAGTTCTGAAAACCAAGGCAAAGGTGAGATGTTGGATTTAAAGGACAACTAAATAAATTCCAGTGGGATTTCTTACTAGAGCCAAACGAAAAAACTATCTGAGTAATCTGTACTATTACCAAAATGTAATGCCTTGCATTCCTCAAAGGAACTGGAACATAGGAGAAACACAGGTGTGTTAATGAGGGACACATTCCATTTAGAAGTTCTGCTCATTAGCATAAGAACCAGCATGCACAGCAGCAGAAATAGAAAGCAGCCCTGGTTAATTCATGTTATATTTGCTAACAGACCAACAGGGCAGACCTAGACAGCTGAAATTAAACCTGAAACTAAACTCTCAGCTATGAAATGGTCAAAGTGTAGCGCGTAAACTAGAAAATGGGCTGAGATTTAGTGATTTCTCTCGATTCGGACGGGTTTGACTCTTAAAGTATTAGATGTACATTCAATAATACTCTGGGAGTTTAATTAAGATCCCTCCAATGATTTTTTACATGTTTTATTTTAGTTCAGACTAACAAACACGTGACCAGGGGAAAACACTATTGCACACTTTTCTCCTTTGGTTGTGGGTGATGAAGTCAAAATCCTCTAAATTTGAAATGCAGCTTTTGCTGCATTTCAATGTCTTTCTCTTCATTATCTGTTCCTGCAGAAATGTCCCCTCTGTCATATCACTGCTCTTGTAACTGATTTCTCTGAGACAATCAGCTTGTAGCTTAAAAAAGCATTGACGAACATGTCCTCCTCCTCCTCCCCATCTGCGCTTTTCAGCATCTCCTCACACCCCCACCTAAGGCACAACATTTAGAAGGTTCTTCTTTTTAAGTCCAATTGTCTGTTTTCCAACAAAAGTGTCTGGTCCAAATGTCCTTCCTGACCTAACGTTCTGAGGCAGCGTCTGAGACGTACAAGAACAAACGGTCATGATGTCATCAAGTTTCCCTTTCAGAATTCCTCTGAACTACATCCCCCCCCCCCCCCCCCCCCCCCCCCCGTTGCTTCTTATGTCTTTCAGGGATCTATCCAGGAATATGAATCACATCTTTGGCCTAGCAGGTATTTCAAATATTTGAGTATCACGTCACTTCTGCAGTTTTGCCGGAGCTATTCAGAGTCAAATTACAGCAGTGCGGCAGTGTCTAGCATGAAGTTTTTAGTCATCCTTTCAGAGGATTCTGTAAACTGATACCCTTCATTCACACTTTGCTCTTGAATTAGTTTGCCAAAAAGTGATGAGACTTTTTCTGTATTTTGCATCTGCTAGAATCCAAGAGGAACTTTCCAAACCAGCAGACTTATTACAAGTTTTTATGATTAATTATCTGAATGCAGGAGGTAAAAACACTGAATTTTAGGTTGTGCTGCTTCCTGTTTATCCCTAATCTCTGGTTGGGTAAGTGTTTATTATTTATCCATCCATCCATTTTTAGCCGCTTATCCGGAGTCAGGGCACGGGGGCAGTAGCTAAGGCAGAGAGGCCCAGACCTCCCTCTCCTCCGCCACTTGGGCCAGCTCCTCTCGGGGAATCCCAAGGTGTTCCCTGGCCAGGTGAGAGACATAATCCCTCCTGCGTGTCCTACATCTTCCTTTAGGTCTCCTCCCAGTTGGACGTGCCTGGAAAACCTCACCAGGGAGGTGTCCAGGAGGCATCTTGACCAGATGCCCGAGCCACCTCAACTGGGTCCTCTCGAAGTGGAGGAGCAGCAGGTCTACTACGTGCCACTCTCGATTACTGAGCTTCTCACCCTATCTCTAAGGGAGAGCCCAGCCAGCCAGCCAGAGGAGAAAAGTCATTTTGGCCGCTTGTATCTGCGATCTTGTTCTTTTGGTCACTACCCAAAGCTCATGACCAAAGATCAGGGTTGGAATGTAAATGGGCCGGTAAATTAAAAGATTCACCTTCCAGCTCAGCTCTCTCTTCACCGCGACAGACAGGTACAACGCCTGCAGTAGAGCCTTAACCCTCCCACTGTCTTTATGGGTGAACCCGCGAGGAAAGTTGACCTTTGAGCAGGATTGATGTTTTATCCCTTGAGGTCCATGTGGCAGGGGTGAGGTGGTGCTCACTCCTCACCCCTGCCACGTGGACCCAAGGGATAAACCATCAACCCTGCTCAATAGTCAACTTTCCTTGCGGGGTCACACCCTTTAGGACAGTGGGAGGTTAAAGGAACTCCGTGTAGCTCTCATCCACCAATGGAGCCTTGCCACCGAGGAGTTTTTGGACCGTCTCAGAGACTGGAGAGTCCAATCCAAAGTCCCCAGACTCTGCTTCCTCACTGGAAAACGTGCTGGTGGAATTAAGGAGTACTTAGAAGTACTCCGCCCACCGACCCACAATGTCCTGAGTTGTGGACAGCAGCACACCGTGACTATAAACAGTGTTGGTAGATCACTGCTTTCCCCTCCTGAGATGCCTGATTGTGGACCAGGTTTTTGCCTCCACGACCACTTGAGCTGCATTCCACTTGGATTGCTGGTACCCATCAGCTGCCTCTGGAAGCTGATAGGTTTATTATACAGACATATACAATGTTAAATTAATGACCCAGCAGACAGACTGTTAAAATGTCAAAAGTAACCATTTTATTTTTGTTTCAATCCATCTTTCAAACAAAATTCCTTAAACCATTCACCTTTTAAAATAAGTACAAATTACTCGTTTCAGTTGATAAAAATGTACATGACAAAAGAGAGCAACCACTGAAGACATTATTTACATTGAAATGAAATGACTCTGTCCCTTGTTTCACTCACATTAGCCACTTCTAGTAAATATAACACCTAAACAAAACTAAAGATCAGAGAATTCACATCAGAGGCACCCGGAAATCTCAGGGATGAGCTTCGACTTTATCGGAGAAACGGTCTTTAGGTTTCACATACTACGTGTTGCTATGTCACCTAAAGATGGCACGTTTCAGCATGCTAACAGCCACGGAAAATGGAAAAGACAGCAAAACCTTTAAAGAATAACTGCATATGATTGGCAACGTTCACCAGAAACAAGTCTTCTTTTGTTTAGTTTTGTGGTTATGTGTAACGCTCTATGGAGCTTAAGTGACTCGACTGAAACTGTTGACAACTGTTGAAGACTAAAACGTTGTGAGAAAAATATTCTCACCTGTTGTTAGTTACCACAGTTGGGCTACAAAAGCATGAACTCAACAAAGGCTTGCACTATTTTTGCAAGTGCAACATAAATCTTCAGGCTGATGGAATCAAGAACTTTGCTGATTAGACTGAAATCAGTTTGAATATAAAGTGAAACCACAACAATTCTGTGAAGCACAAGAATGTAATCCTGAATGTGATTTGTAATGAGGAGGAGTGGTGTTGATAAAAGTCCTTAGCAGCCAGAAACTGATGATCAGAATCAGTGACTTTGTTCTTCATCTACTAAGACCTGCAGCTCACTCTGAGAAAACAGTTGTTTCTTTTTGGCTGTCACTTCTCCCCCTGCCGTGTCCATATGTTCCCAGTCCGACACTAATGAGTGCTCCTTGCTCTAACCTGCTGCATGTCATGAACACATTTGTGCCAGCTCATAATTTGTGCTGTTTGCTTTGTGAATCTCAAACAGTAAAGGAGCAGATAGCGGGAGGAATAAAGGCAGAACTTGCACCTGTGCTGCACATGAACAAATTTCCCTGTAGGTGTTTTTGTTTAGTCTTTGTTTTCTCTTTTTTCACAACCTAGTTTGATAGTTTGGCAACTCTTGTAAACATTTCTCAAACTGGCTTTCAGAAGCTGAACTGGGAAGCGTATGAGATTGTTTGGAGACACCGATGAGAATGTGTTCATGGAGTCATAACTGTAGTGTTTTGGTGTACATATACCGTTATCTGTATTTACTATTATTATTAGTGTATTGTAATGTGTGTGTGCGTGCATGCGTGTGTGTGTTTGTTTGTTTGTTTCTCAGCTCGTCTTTAGAGGTGTATTTCCATTGTTGGAACTTCAGGGTAACTTCTGGAAAGGGGAATTTGATGGCCCGGTCCTCTCAGCTGTTGTATACAAATTCAGCCCTTTCAGGACTTAGCTCAAACATCAGCATGTCGCGACTGCTTTGGCAGTGAGTGACAAAAACTGTCCACAGTAGCATTAAAAATTGTACAGCTATTTAATTCATTCAGAGGACTGGGAGAGCGGATGTGTGATGTAAATGTGTCATTCATTGACCAGAAGAAGCAGCCACAACAAAGCCCTGTGAATTGGGGGCTCCGCTGCATTTTTCGGCATTGGAGGTTTAATAACAGTGGTTTTAAATCAGTGCGAATGGTGCTTATTTGCTTGTGCTTCTATTTTGCTTCGCAACCAGCTCTTCAAATTTCACGAATGCCGACTGTTTTGGTTGATGTCTGCTGATGTCATATCCTACTGTGTTCCAACCAATCAGAATGAGTTAACCAAAAATTCAGCCCAGCAACTCTACCAGGCCTTTTTGAGTTACTACCCCTGTTCAGGTACTTCGTTAGTTCGTGAAAATGGCCCGGTAAACGGCCTGTTCGGCTAGCTCTGTGAAGTGGAGACACACACACTGGGAAGTTCTGGTAATATTACCCTGAAGTTCAGACAGTGAAAACATGCCTCATGTAATTGTCCCTGTACACCTAGTCCTTAGTTTCTCAGCTCTGCTGTTTATCCCATTAGCCTGTTTTTGCCAATGTTTTGAACTGTCCTTCCATCTCTGACATGGTGGTTATATTGTAGTTTAGTTATGCTCCATGTTTTATTTAAATTTTTTTGACAAGCCAGCATATATTGGTGGGCCCCATATGGAATGTATATGGGCAAATGTCCACTTTGGCCCCACAGGGGTTTGCCTATATAGAGTTTGCCCATATACATTTGAACCCTATATGGGTTTTCAGAGGGACCCAGATGGTTTGACTCATTCATTGCCCCTTTACAATCTCTGTGGATCCTAGAGAGCTGCTATTCAGCTGTTTTCGTTTTTCTCAGCTTCAACACACCTAATTTAAATCAGTAGGAGAATACCAGACGTCTGAAGAGCGTGATGAGCTTCTGAAAAGGAGATTCAACTGTTAGAGCAGGGAAACATCAAAAACATGTTGGGTAGCTGCTCTCCGGGGGTTGTATACCCCTGCCCAATGGGGACACCATGAAAAGTGTGGAAAAACTTGTTGGGGCCCATTCAGCTTGCCCATACATATTCCATATGGGGCCCATGAACATTTGGCTCACAGCTGCTGCCTGATGCCTGCAGTCCTGGGTCGAACTCAGTGCTTCACTCAAAAAGTTTTGCAGCACGTAAGCAATGCCCTGCAGATGTTTCTGGGTGTTTGAGAAACTTGTTTGAGAATCTAATTCACAATTTAAGCCCAACAGTCGTAGCCCAGTGAGATCCCAGATTTAACTAAATCTTTTTCTTCATAAATGTGTTTCTGGAGCTTGAGCCAAATGAGCGTCTACATGGAACAGAGGTGTTATGATTGACATGTGCGCAGTATCAAGTTTATGATTGTTGCAGATTTTTTTTACACTGTACATGTATTCAGTTAGTAGCAGTCTTGTCAAATTTGTGCAAGTATTTACATTTTTCACATTTCTAAATATTATCTGAAGATGTCCTGAGATGAACGTCGCCTTCACGAGAGTTCAGGATCTTTAACCTTTTACCCAAAGCTGAGTTCAAAATGGCTTCCTCAAAACAAAGACAAAAAACTGTAGTTCAAGTCATAGCAGTTCCTACAATTGTTTACCTTTCCACTTGAGAACCAGACCAAAATATGCCACTCTGGACTGGATGACACAGAGGAAACCTGGACAGAGATCCCATCTCTGACCACAAACCACTTGGATCTGTCGGTAAAGGAGGAAATCCACATAGAAGCAGTTGAAAAGATAATACCGGAAGGAATGAGGGGGTTATGTTATGGTGTTGTAGTTTGGCTAGTTTTGTTTCCAAACATAAGGGGGATGATGTAGACAGAGATGTCATCTCCAGAGCCTAATCTGTCATTGGATATCCTCCAGCCGCGATCCTTCAGCACCCCTCGAGCTCTCATGATGAGGTCCTGAGCTGCCATTGTGTACCTGTCAAAGCAAAGGGCATCAGAAAGTATGACAACATCAACTTGAAGCAACACTAAAGAGTTTTTACCCTATTTAAGATATTCCTTTCTAACTGATTTCAGTGGTTCCTCAGCCATACAACCTAAGAAACTTCACATGGGTCAGAACTCTGTAGCCCTTTGCTGACCAGAAACTGCTGTTAACAAGTTTGTGGTTTGCACAGGAACACTGGTGGAAGTTCTCTACCTCCTTTCAGGCAATAGCTCCTTATTGTGCCGGTAGCTAAAATAAAGGCTAGCGGTTAGCTTTATCAGTTTGCCAACCATCAATAAAAAGCACAAGAAGACGTTTGCCTTTTTGTTGGCCTGCAAGTAAAAGTGAGAGAGTAATGTCTTTGGAGGGCAAACAAAGCGCTAAAACCAGAGTGAACAGAAGCACGGCCTCACTCATTTGAGACAGCTGAAGGGGGCTACGGAATCACAGACTGATGGTGACCTGGCTTTGTTGCTACTGGACTTGTAAGTAATAATGGATCCTTTGCTTTGTGGCTTATTTAGTATTAGTTGGCTGATGTTAGCATTAGCTCGCTGCTAGCTACAGCTGACTGCGGCAGGGTTGATTACTGTTTTCAACCAGTAGGAGGAAGAAGCAGGAAACGTACGCATTTCTTTAATATAAAAGAAACATCACAACAAACTGTGCTTACATGATGTGTAGTACGTCCTACGAGCTTGTCTACATGTTTGAAAATTTGCAACCAAATAGCTCTGCTCATCCTCTTCAAATGAGATGAGGAGATACAGAAAGCACAGGCATGATTTAGAGGCTACAGCTGGGTGAGGATGAGTGAACATGCCTGTGGTGGTCGTCTGGGTCGCAGTTCGCCAGGAAACTGGTGACCGCCTCAGACACTTCCTGGTTAGACAGGACATCCCACAGTCCATCGGTTCCCAGCACCAGAACATCATCTGCTCCGTGCTCGTACTGCGATAGGGGATACACTTTGACCTGAAGATGAAAGGAAAGTAGGATTCAGCTACTCATCAGTATCTTTTGTACGTGTTAAGACATCAAACTGGGTCAAATATTCTGTTACTGTTATTTAAGAACATGAGCTGATTTTGAAAAAAAGAACAAAGTTAGAATGACAAACATCTTTGCAGTGACTAAAAAGAGAGCTTGCCCTGTGACTGGCCGATGGACAAAAGAGGTAAAACTTGGAGAAGATCCAAGAAAACCCCAAAGTCAAAATGTGCAAGCATCTCCATGAAGTGAAAGAGGACATTTATGCTATTTTCTCTACTTTTATAATCGTCTGTGGAGCCCAAAAATGTCCAGAATCCTGCAAAACACCAAGGAAAAGAGAAGGAAAATATACGTTTAAAGCAGCAATTCCATAGACACCACAGATACCCACTTCCACTGGCTTACTCAGTTGTTATGGCTGACGGAAACCCGACATACCAACCAACGGTAACACCCAGTGGTCTTTGTCTACCTGTCTGGTAGATGCCATAGAAGACTTCATGCTGCCTGTGAACGGAGCTGTAAAGGAATCAGGACCTCATGTGGGTCAAGTGTCTGTGGTGAAACTCATGAAGTCAGTCCAGCTTTGTGAGAGAAGGAGGGTGAGTCCATTAAGTCATTGTTATTTCATGTTTCAGGACATCCTCCCACATTATTTCTTTGCACATCTCTGACGGTAATGCTAACATGAAGAAAGTGAATCATCTCAAAGGAGTGACTAAAAAGGGAGGCTGCCCTGTGAATGAACTCAGAAGCCAATGAATGGAGCATCCAGAGTTCATGGCCTTCATGACTAATGCAATCATGCTCTGCAGTCACTATAAGAAAAGACAACGAGTAGTGTAAGTGTGTCTGTTACACACAGAGTTTATGGTAAAAAGCATTTTTTCTGTCTGTTATCTTTTTGCATCAGGAGGTGAGGTTGGAGAACACTAAAAGGTCTGTGGGCTACTAATCTGCTGCTGCTATTTTATTACATTTGCAGACATCTCTAGTATAAATGAATGCATCGTGAGTCGATCTCTGTGGGAAAAAAGCTCTGGTGCTCCTGTTTCAGGAAGTAGAAATGAGCCAGAAATGTGGGGGCAGAAAACGGCAGATTCTGGACTCTTATGGGACTTCCATACTAGCATCGGCTCTATTCCGCCTGGACTGGGTATGGAGTGTTCTCATCTGGATAGCCGGGGATTTCCCTGCATGCAGTCATTTTTTGAGCCTTCTTCTCGAGGTGATCTGCTTGGAGCCAAACTGGTCCAACACACCCACTGCCCACTCATTGGCCAGCTCAAATTCATGCCTATCATTAGGGGAAGCCTCCAATTGGAACTGGAGTGTTTGTCCTGAGGACTTTTTTTTTTCAGATCACCATTGCATTTTCTTTAACTTGTCAGTTTCTGCGTCCCCACCTCCTGCTCGCCGTATGGTTAGTTCTCGTTTTCTTAACGAGAGCACAGCTGGCAATTTTTCTGCTGCTTTTGATCCACCCTGTTCTTCTGATAACGATCCAGATTCCTTAACTTCTCAGTTCAACGAGCACTGCCTCTCCATTCTGGACAACATGTGTCCTGTCAGAACCAGATCAGGTCCTGCAGTGAACCCTACTCCCTGGTTTAATGACAGCCTTTGCAGCCTGAAGTGCCAATGCAGAAAAATTGTGGAAGAAAACCCATCTCAACGCCCATCTGCTGCACCTAAAGGATCTTCTGACATCCTTTAACTCTGCAGTCAGAGACGCTAGGGTTTTCTATTTCTCCAACCTGGTGTCCCAGAGCAAAGGGAACCCCAAGGTGCTGTTTAACACCATCAGCAGCATCGTCTCTCCTGCCTCTCCTACAGCCTCCATCCACTCTGTTACAGACTGTGAGAACTTTCTGTTTCTTTGTGGACAAAGTCAATAAGGTTAGATCTATCATCTCTCCTTCAGCCTTATCGCTGCCTCTCCCGACTCCACCCAGGCCCATCATCCTAGATAGCTTTGCTCCTGTTTCTTTGCCTGAGTTAACCAAACTAGTTAACTCTATGAAGACCTCTGCATGCCCCCTCGACATCTTATGGGCTCGACACACGGGAGGCGACAAACGATCGCAATCAGCGAAATTTGTCGCCGTCACTTTTATTACCTGACACACGGGAGGTGATCCGCGGCAGCGGCCAGCGGCAAAGCTGTCTACGCGTTCTGTTCCATGGCGAAATCGAAACTTCCGTTGTTCTGTTTGGCTGTGTCAGGTTGGAGGGAATTAAGGTTATTTAAGCGGTTCAGACTTAAAAAAGTGGTAGATATGATGTTTCACAAGGTGCTGCTAGAGTTATGTGAAATCTTACTTCTGATTTTACTTTATAAAACATAATAATAATCAACTTCTCCTTCATGTTTGCTCGGAGATGTACGGAGCATCCTGCCTGCTCATTGGTCAGTGAATGAAACCTCCGTTGATTGGTCCTCGTCCGAGCGACAGCGATGAAAAGTTGAAAATGTTTCAACTTTCTTGGATCGCGTCGCTGGGTCGCCTGTGCACAACACGTGCACGAGCGCAAAATTTCACACGCACGTTTTTCGCATTTCGCTTGGTAGGAGGGAGACCCGCGATTATCTCTTTGTCGTGCATGTCTCATTGAAAATGAATGGAGGAGAGGCGATGTCGCCTCCCGTGTGTCGAGCCCATTACCCTCATCTTTGTTTAAAAGTGCTTTTCAGTCCATCGGTCCCAGCGTACTCTCTATAATTAATGCTCCTCTGGTTTCTGGTCAGGTTCCTGCTTACTTTAAGAACGCTGTAATCCACCCGCTTCTTAAAAAACCGAGTCTCGACCCCTCTCTCCATAGCAGCTTCAGACCCATCTCTAAACTTCCGTTCATCTCCAAGATCTTGGAAAAGGTTGTGGCTAAACAACTCACAGCTGCTCTTGATGAACATAACATCTATGATTGCTTCCAGTCAGGTTTTCGTAGACCTCATTCTACTGAAACAGCTCTTCTTAGGGCCTCTAATGACCTTCTGACTCACAGTGATGCAGGGGACTGTTCTGTTCTGGTCCTGCTGGACCTGACTGCAGCCTTTGACACTGTTGACCATCACCTGCTACTGGAGAGGCTGAGAGACTGGGTAGGCCTATCAGGATCTGCTCTTGAGTGGTTCTCCTCTTATCTCTCTGAGCGCTCCTTTTCTGTGGCCGTCTCCAAGTTCAGGTCCTCCACCAACTCTCTTACCCATGGTGTCCCACAAGGTTCTGTGCTGGGGCCTCTACTCCTCCTCCTCTATCTGCTTCTTCTTCAGCACATCCTGAGCTCCTTCAAAGGAATCTCCTACCATCTTTATGTGGATGACATCCAACTGTACATCTCCTTTAAGCCCCATGAGATGTCTAAGCTGCAGCTGCTACACACCTGCTTAGACTCTATCAAAGCCTGGATGGCTGGGAGCTTTCTTCAGCTGAATGAAGATAAGACTGAGATCCTCATCTCTGCCCCAGACAAGCTGGTTCCCAAAGTCAGAGACTCTTGGTCAGCTTGCTTCTCACACCAAACCTTCTGTCAGGAATCTTGGTGTGACCTTTCACCCAGCTCTCACCCTGGATTCTCATGTCAGTTCTCTTGTTCGCTCTTCCTTCTTCCATCTCAGGAACGTTGCTAAGCTGAGTCCCATTCTGTCCCGCTCTGAACTTGAGACAGTTATCCACACCTTCATCTCCTCACGCTTAGACTACTGTAACTCTCTTTTCACGTGTCTGAGCAGAACCTCCCTGAACCATCTACAGGGGGTTCAGAATGCCTGTGCTCGGCTTCTGACCAAGTCCTCCAAACACACCCACATCACCCCGCTTCTCCTCCAGCTTCACTGGCTGCCAGTCAACTTCAGGGTTCATTTCAAGATCCTGGTTCTGGTCTATAGGGCCTTACATGGACAAGCACCATCTTACATTGGTGATCTTCTTAGTCCTTACACCCCCAGCAGGTCCCTGAGGTCCAGTGATCAAAGCCTACTGGTTGTGCAGCACCAGGCTAAAGACCAAAGGTGACAGATCATTTGCTGCTGTGGCCCCCAGACTCTGGAACTCTCTCCCCCTGAGCCTGAGATCAGTGGACTCAGTGGCCTCCTTTAAAAAGCAGCTGAAGACTCACTTGTTCAAACTGGCTTTTGTATGACCTTCTTCATCACTCTCTCTTTATTCAGCTCTCCCCACCTATTCCACCTTCCTCTGGATCCACTGATTTCCCTCTTTCCAGTTCACTCTCTCTCTCTTTCTTTACATTTTTTAATCACACTTGTCTGTTTTTTGCTCATTTTAAATATATATTTAAACCATTTTCTAAATTATTTTTTATAGTTTTGACATTTTTTGTTTTTGTGAAGCGCCTCGTGATTTTTATCTTGAGAGGCGCTATAGAAATGATACTTTCTTTTTCTTCTTCTTCTTCTTCTTCTTCTTCTTCTTCTTCTTCTTCTTCTAAGTATTAGAACCAGTTTGAGGCTCAGACCTGGAGGCTGATTTCCCTTTTTCCTATTCTCTCTCTCTTTTTTAACATTTTTTAAATCACAATTGCCTATTTTTGCTCATTTTAAATATATTTTTAAACATTTTCTAAATGCTTTTTTATATTTTTACATTTTTTGCTTTTGTGAAGCATCTTGTGATTTTTATCTTGAGAGGCGCTATAGAAATGATGCTTTCTTCTTCTTCTTCTTGGAACGAGTGAAGCCCTTGGGGGCTTCCCGCATGTGTGATTCATTATCATCCTGGATACTGAGCAGAGAAGTCGTGTGGCTGAAGAGCGCGTGCACACACACACACACACACACACACACACACACACACACACACACACACACACACACACACACACACACACACACACTGGGACAACTCACTTCTGATTGGATAACAGCAACGCAACTCTACCACTGACTCTTTTTGCTCTGCAACACTGATGTTTTTTCTCCACACTGAGACAAGCCTGATGGCGTTCTGTTGTGCGGTGGAGTTTCTATGCTAACAGTTAGCTTCTACTAGCTAAGACTCGCTCTACTCACTCCTGGATGCTGAACCAACAACAGCCTTCTCCTGTCGTGAGGCAAGATGGAAGGGTCCATAAATGTTAAGTGACAGTGTGATGTAGATCTGTGTGGGTTCTTCTGATTCAAACGTTGCCTCGCGCTGATTTGCTTTTGGTGGCTAAAATAGGGGTAAAAGACAATTTTTACATCACACGTGAAACTCAAAGAGACCGATCATTTCCTCAGTGAACCTGCTCTGTAAATCAAATCTAGATGACTTCAACATAATTTAAGGTATATCACCCTTTGATGATTCATAAATATGTAGAAACAAATCCAGAGAGAGTTAGATTTCTGCAGCAATGGACCCTGAGAAGTATACGTAACTAGCAAATAAACAGCTAACAACAGTAAGGAATGTGATCAGGAACATACTTAATATTTGAGCTGAAGTCATGTTAAAGTGGTGATCTTTTAAGTTTTTACACACAGCTAGAGAACAAATCTCTCGTTAAACTTTTAAATAATTCTCAAACAATCCTTTCCTGATGTTTGAAGCACAGAGGTGGAAATATTATGGTTTGTAGTTTCTGGGTTACCTGAAAGAATCAATAGACTTCTTTTGTTGTACTTATGTTTGTGTGCAAAGGAGGGAGAAGGGGAGAGCCGAGAGCCTTGGAAAAGGAGAAGAAAGGAAGTGACAGTGCTGAACAGGCGTGAAGGTATAATTGGACAAGGCTGTGGTGTTGCACATTGTTCTTGTTAACTGCACTGGTGCTTTTTGTGAGCACACACTGATCATGTTTCTTTGCTCTGCAATTAAAAACTAAAAGGGTAGTAACAACCACACAGCAAGAGCACTTTTTAATTGTGACAATATGTAAAAGGGCTAATTAAGCTAGCTGTGAAGTTTTCATATTGAAGGTATAGCAATCGATGTTTTTCTTCCGGGTGGATCACGTCAACCATTGGTCCACAAAAATGTCAATTTCTGGTGAAGCCAATCCTGGGTTAGTTTTCACTTCCTGCGCATGCGTACTCTGTGCAGCCCCGCACTCATGGAAACCAGGAAGAGGCTAACGCGGTCCAGTCCGCTCCCCACAGATGCCGCTGTTGCCGGTTTTCTGCTTGAGAGGTAAGCTAACGTTCTGCATGCTATTTTTAGACACTCTTATTACACATTACGGCCGGCAGCTACTTTTAAACAGGCGCTGGGAGAGTGTTGCGCAACGTGGAGAGGGCGGTTCTTTCCTGAAATTCAGAAACATCGATTGCTATACCTTTAAAGAATATCTTCAAGAAAAATCTCCCTAAAGTTATGAGAACATTTTAAATACATGAATTATTGGATGAAGTATTCTTTCTTAGTAGTGACTAGTTATTTTTTTTCTATATAGTCTGAAAAAAGAATGAATAAATAAATATAAAAAAAGCCAAAACTTCCCATTTTTCACATAAATAATGGTGTTACTGACTGAGGGGACAGAGAAATGGACAGATGGCTAGGTGGATGGGTAACAATTAATGGATGGTTAAGAGGACAGATGGATGAGTGTATAGGTGAATGCATAGGTGATTAATTAAATATGAAAAAATTGATGGATGATGGGTGGGTAATCTGTTCTGAAGATCTAGGAATCATCACTTTGCCGGTGGAGGATAAATTTGCAACCATGCTTACCTCTGGGCAGCAGGACAGGAAGGGCTTGATGTAAATATTGGAGTCGTGAACTTTCAGGTTGTGGTCCCCAAACCCTCTTGTGACCCCGATGGTTGCCAACACACGAGCCTGCAAAAGATCAGCAGTCTGTCAGTCCAGAAGCTCTACCGGGTTTCCGGCGTTTCTACGCTGAGTGACACATTTGGATGTAATTCCAAACAGCAAGACAGAGGAAGCTTATGAGGTAAGTTTTATTCCCTAAACCTGGTTATTAGGGTTAGGGTTAGGTGATGATGACTAGGCTGGCATCACTTACAGCCAGGAGAAGTGAGATGATCAGAGACCAGGCAGTTAAAAAGGGGGAGTTAAAGGGGAACTAGGCTGTTTTGGCTTGCTTTTTGCAGCCCTAGTGGCTGTTTATAGAAACAAAAGCAAAAACTATCTTCTCATGAAACGTCTCCCAGCCTTTCTTACGCTGGTTTCACACTGGAAGCGTAAGCTGTGTGAAAGGGCAGCAGAACGGTTTACTTGCGAACTTTAAAGCAATCATTTTCACACCGGGAGAGTCTTGGCAGCGGCATGGCTTCCTCACTCTGTTCTTTGCTGGACTCGCGAGATTACAAGATCCCTCGAGACTTCAGGTCACAATTTGTTTATGCAATCTGCCATGAAACCAAAAAGAAAGAAATGACGTTTGTTATCACTGTTTGATGTCATATATGATGTTCTTCTCCACTACCAGAAATAAAGCCATGAAAAACACACCGCTGCACTTCTGGAACGATGCTGTGAGTAAATAAGCCGTTAGGTCACATGTAAGCTTCATATATATGAAATTGCATCGCTGTAGTACTTTTATTTTGAAATTTACAGGTGATTTTACACTGAAACAGTGTGTGATTTCCTATCTAGCCCTGTGTTAACTGCGGAAATTGACGCATCCCAGAAACAGCATGCTGCAAAAACAGAACCCGATCCTATCTTTAGCAGCGCGCTGCTTCTGGGACGCATCTGGAAATTGCTGTCGCTGCTGGTATTAAACAATCCATAGACTATAATGGATTCTATCTGATGCAGTGAAGTTCTGCTGCCGTTCCGCGCCGCCGATGCTTTCAGTGTGAAACCGGAGTTAGTGCCTACAGGAGTGGTTCATCTATACATTAAACAAATCAGCTGTGTTTATGATCTAAAACATGCAGGAAAGGTGCTGGAAAGGTGCAGCGCCGGGTGTGTCAGATCCTTTTTTTCCCAACAGAGCGGCCCACCAGTCGGAAGTTGCAAGTGGAATATTCTGGCCACAGGGGGCGATAGAGGCTGGGTGGACTTTCATTAACACTGTGTGTCATTTTAGCACATACTGGCTCAAGAAAACGCTTTAAAAACATGAAAAAGTTCAAAAGGTATGCCTTTAAAAGCATTTCTTGTGCTTTTAGACCTCCATTTAAAAATTTATTCAGATAATGAAAACTTAAATTAAAAGTGTGAAAAAAAAGACCAACCCCCTTTGCAATCGGGCAAAATTCAATCTAATTCAATAGATTTTTTGCTCCCTTTCTTCCAGACAGACTATCTGCCTGCAAAGAATGAGCACGGGCTCATTCCTGGGAAACTGGGTTAATTGTCTCTCCTGTACAGAGCACATGGGGTAATAGAGGCCTGGTTAGAGATCAGCATGCAGCGCAGCGGCCAAACTCCTCCAGCAGAGCAGAGGGAAACATCCTGAGGTCAGCTGTTGAGTGGTGGGGCCCAGAGGGACAGCAGGCCAGGCTTTGAAGTGTCTCTCGCTCTTTTTCACACAAAAGTCTTTTCTCTTTGTTGGGCTGACCTAGGATTGGGACAATATTCAATGTAACTTGTACCAAGTTTTGTAACTTGGAACATGTTTCATGACACGTAACTTTGGATTCGTAACTTGTAACTTTAGTTTTCTAACTTGCAATTCTCAATTTGTACTTGTATTTCTTATTTGGAACAGGAACATTTCATTTTGTACATGTATTTTTTATTTTGTAAAATCAAAAATCTAACTTTTATTTTGTACATTTACTACTCATTTTGTAACATCAAACATTCATTCACAAACATGAAATTTTCGGTTTTTACCTAGCAGACTTCCAAAATAAAAAAAAATCAATGTACAAGTTTGAAATCAAAACTCTCAAAACACACATTTCATTCTACAGGTACAAACCTCAAATCTACAGTTACGGATCTTTTTGTCTCAATTCTAGCGTCAGTGGGAGGAACTTGGGTGGAACCAATGAGAGCACGAGTCTTAGCTACCAATCACGTTTCTCGAATTCCTGTCCAATCATTGGGAGAGGAGGGCAGAGTTCTGTCAGAGCTGCAGAAAGAGAGTTACGACAATCTTTGAACTCGCCGACTCGCGGTCACGTGGTTCATGGAGCTCTCAGTTCCAAACATCCCAGCACCGTAAGTCAGTTTGAACGGCGTATGGTGGGACAAATCACAAAAATTTAATATCACATTTCCCCTGGTGATTTGTGGTAATTATTGAATAATATTAAATATTATATTATATTATGTCCTAACTCCTTCACAAAGTAGCCTATTTATATTTTTCCAAGCATTTGTAGGAAGACAAACACCTGTGACTGTTCTACATTACAGGAACACGACAGTCCTAACACACTGTAGAACATTTAGACCACATACATTACTATAATATAATATAGCAATAAATTTGATGTAGTAATGCAACACACTGCTCTAATATAAGCATATTTAATAACTTTAAGTCCTACAAGAAGCCCTAAACTCGAGTTGTAATATCCATTTTAAAGTGTTTATTGAAAGCTAGAATTCTGCTCCAGCTTACCGTGAAGAACATATGTATCTGTTTATACTTTGAATGATGATCTATTATGTTCAGTAGAATACATTTTACAATCATTACTTTATATTTTTATGTGAAGACAGTACATGCATCTATAACCCAGTTTATCGGGCTTCTATAGCAACTAATTACAAATAAATTTTCAGTAAAACTGTATGGTTCATCACAATAAAGTGTGTTATTTGTGAAAAAATGAACACCAAACTTGTACAACATGTATAATAGCATTTTTAATAAAGCATTTTACCAACATTGTTTAGTCATTACATATGCACAAATAAGCTGAATCAATAAATTTGAGCAATGTACTCAAGACCTAATGAAACCCTTTTGAATAACTATATTTTGATTATTATTCAAACAAAATGTGTCCATGGGTTAAAATTTGAAATGACTAATTTTAGGATTGGATAAAATTTTGAAATGTAATTTTACATCTCTATAATTTTAGTTTAGTTCAATATTTCTATACGTACAAAAATAGTATTTTAATAATCCCTTTATAGGTTGATTATCTTACATGGTTGGCTGCGCTGCATATAGCAATCGGTCTGAGGGAGGAATCAGAATTATGGCTTACCCAAAGATGCAGAGAGAAGAAGAAAATGGTTGGCTCAAGTCAGCAGGAGCAACCTCACCATGACCAGAGATCACAATAACAAAAAGCTGTGTGCAGTGAGTTTAATGTGCACTCTCAAACGTTTCCTATCAAGGCTCTACATGTTCTGCTCTCAACTACACAAGGCTGCAATTAAACTGTTAAATGTGGCAGGAAATAAACTACAGTAATACACCACTCTACAGGCACATTGTGAGGAGGGACAGTTTACTAAGCTTAGGCAAGGTGAGACTCAGGGCTGATGCTGTTCCAACCATGTTTGTTCATCGCCCTGAACCAAGGAGGAGGAAGGACCCCGTAGTGAGAAGTACAGCAGAACCACTGCATGTTGGTCCACTGACCAGTGACCACACATATTGTACTCAAGTAAACTGTGGTGTGAAATATTAGACATTTGTATTAATTTTATTTTAAAAAGATTCTTTATTCTAACAGTGACATTATAAATTCAGAGAATGAGGAAAACAGCAGCAGCAATGAGGCAAATGAGGGAAAGTGAGAGGGGACATAAGATGGTATCAGGAGAGAGGGACATCCCAGGAAGCCATGAGGAGCCGGCGTCAGGGCCAGGAGGAGAAAGGAACAGGCTATGCAACCAGGGAACCCAGCTGGAAAACCTAAGGGAGGAAATAGAAAATCAAAAAGGCCGTACAGCTCGGTTTTTCAGTGGGTTCAACAGGCTACAGTTTTCTTCAGGTCATGAATATCCCTCTGCCTGATGTTAGAACCCTGCAAAGACAAGTGCAGCCCATTAACTGGAACCAGGTGTGTTAGGAGGTTTCTGACATGCTCAGTTTGAAGGTTAAAAATCTGACAGAGATGGAAAGAGAGTGTGTGCTTACTGTGGATGAGATGGCAATCACTCCAGGCGTGCATCACTCCATCACAGACCCAACTGGGTTTTGCCACCACCGTTGTTCCTGGTCAGCTCTCCGCTCAGCCACTATGAAAACATGAACATGGACACACAACACAGTTTAACCTTTAATGGTTACATAAGATTTTTGTTTTAGTATTTTTTTGACATTTATTTATTGATAGTTGTGTTACTGTTAATTCTTATTTCTTGTCATTCCTTAATAACAAAATTGCAAATGCTAGTATTATAAAGCAAATGGAAATGAGCAGTTTTATGGAAAATGTCTCATTTTTCAAAGTTGTGTTCGACTACTGTTCTTGAAATATCGTAATTCTATTCTTATTACTTGAGTCCACAAAACAGAACAACATATCTTCTTACGTTCGTAATCCTGTTTGTCTCATGCTTCAGCAGTTTGTTGTAGTCAGTGTTATTAACTGAAAAATATTAAATAATTACTTGTCTTCACAATCACATTTTCTTTATTATTGGTATCTCCATTTGTGCTTCCATTTCTGATGCATCTTCGTGTTGATACAGCAACCAGCAACGTATTGTAAAAAAAATCCCTAATAAAACTAATAATGTAAAAAGTTTATAACCTATTTCCAACTGTGGGGAATATTTTTAAAACATAGAATCAAACAAGCTGAAATAAACCCGTCTACAGCTCGTCCTCCTGCTCACAACCAACAAGATGCACACAATTAGCTCATTAAAGGTTATCTAGCTAAAACTGGCAACATAAAATATCATCGTTGGCTTATTTTCATACGAAGCGGTTAGCTAACGCTTCACAATGCAACAAAATTATGACATTTCATCAACTTACCGGAGAAAATCCTTCCGAAACACCGAAAATGAACTACGGTCAATGCAGCAGAGGGGCTGTTTGGAACTATTCGAAGCTACATGAACCACGTGACTCCCGCATTCCGTGTCGTAACTCTCTACAGCTCTGACAGAACTCTGCCCTCCTCTCCCAATGATTGGACAGGAATTCGAGAAACGTGATTGGTAGCTAAGACTCGTGCTCTCATTGGTTCCACCCAAGTTCCTCCCACTGACGCTAGAATCAAGACAAAAAGATTTGTAACACTGTAGATTTGAGGTTTGTACCTGTAGAATGAAATGTGTGTTTTGAGAGTTTTGATTTCAAACTTGTACCTTGATTTTTTTTTTATTTTGGAAGTCTGCTAGGTAAAAACCGAAAGTTTCATGTTTGTGAATGAATGTTTGATGTTACAAAATGAGTAGAAAATGTACAAAATAAAAGTTTGATTTTACAAAATAAAAAAATACATGTACAAAATGAAAATTTCATGTTACAAAACAAGAAATACAAGTACAAATTGAGAATTACAAGTTAGAAAACTAAAGTTACAAGTTACGAATCCAAAGTTACGTGTCATGAAACATGTTCCAAGTTACAAAACTTGGTACAAGTTACACTGAATATTGTCCCAATCCTAGCTCCATATATAATAATAATGCATTGAACTTATATAGCGCTTTTCTAGACACCCAAAGACGCTTTCACACACTCTCACATTCACACACTGCTAGTGATGGTAAGCTACTTGTAGCCACAGCCGCCCTGGGGAGGTCTGACAGAGGCGAGGCTGCCATTTGGCGCCGTCGGCCCCTCTGAACAGCACTAACACAGGCAAGTTTGGTGAAGTGTCTTGCCCAAGGACACAACAGCAGGATACCCCTGGTGGGAGCTGAAATCTAACCCATGACCCTCCGATCATGAGGCAACCCGCTCTACCACCTGAGCTACTGCTGCTCCAGATGTCCATCTCCACGCCTCCTCCATACTTCAAAAGATGAGGGCAGAAACATGGGCATGGGTAAAACCTGGTGGTGGCTGCAGAGAGCACCACGGGGTGACATCAGCCTTGGTCATCAAACTTAAACCTTCCTTATATAGGAAACATTTTTTCTGATTGGCTTAATGAACTGACCTGTATTGGAATATTTTATTATGTTAAGTGTCTTGAGACAACTCTTGTCGTGATTTGGCGCTATATAAATAAAATTGAATTGAATTGACTGCAGCCGTTTGCTGATCAGAAAAGTCCTTTGCTTCCAGTCACAGAACGTTGCGCTCTAGGATGATGTCTATGCCAAAACTACCAAAACAAAGAGTAGACTCACTTATGCAGCCCCACTAACATGTTTGACCAAGCAGTTACATGACACAGCATTTCCCCCCATTCAGCCAATGAAACAAAGTACAGAAATATAATTTAATTACTGATAAAAAGAAGCAGAAACTGCTTGGATGGTCTGTTAGTAACCACAGCTTGCCCCTTTGTCTAACTAATTCCATGACTATCATCCAAACACGGAGGACAAAACTAAAGCTCAGAGAGTCAAAATGGTCGAACATCTATTAACGTGAGGCTGAGGCCTTTCTCCAGAGCTAGCTCTGAAGTCACGTGGCTCTGATGCTCATTAATTATTCAGATTTTTAAGCATTAAATTCCACTTGAACAGAAGAGTTACAAAAATCTTCACCTCCCTCAGAGCTGTAAAGTAGATCTATTAAACCTAAAATGTTTTTTTTTAACCAGGCTGTAAACATGTTTACTTCTGCTGTGAATTTGGCATTTTTAACATGGGAGTCATTGAGGATTTGCTCACTTCTGGTGCAGGCCCCTAGTGGACGAACTGCAATTTTAGATTTTACCCTGATCTGTTTGCACATGATTATGGATGAATCACTCAGGTGCATCGATATCTAGTCAGGTAAGTGGAAATTGTGATAGAGTTATGAACCTTTAGTGTCCCCCCTCCCGCATTACTCATGGTAGCTATGATCACAGGCGAGCCTCTCCAGGTCACAGGAGTAGTGAGTGGTTCTTACCTTCTTCCCCTCACCGAAGATCAGAGGGAACTTCAGGTCATCATCCTCTATAGTTTTATATGCCCTGCACAAAGAAGAGAGGGCACTTTATTGTTTTTATGGCAGGGTGTGTATATAAATATAAACCCTGAAGATGGATTGCATCATTTGCCCCCCTCAGGCCTCCTTCTGCTGAGGTACCTTTTTCAGTAAGAGACAGCTTCATGTTTAGTTTCATGTTTGTTTCTTTATAACTGATCCTGGTGGTGAAGACCATACCTGTAGATCCATGAGACAGTGTGTGTGTGTGTGTGTGTGTGTGTGTTTCTAAAATTCAGATGTAAAACAGATGAATGATGCAGGTGGATTCACGTTCCCATGAGTGATCCTTAAACTTCCTGTCCTAATGAGTAATTTGGTACGTTCACACCAGGATGATGCAGGCACAGCAGATAATGCAAAAACTGTGACTGACCAAACAAATAAAATATCATCCCAGGTCCTAGGGTGTGCTGGAGTCTTCAACATATCAATGGAGGTCAAAATAAACAAGTACAGAAAAAAAGCTGAAACTAATGGCGAAGTTGTAATCGTGGTAGTCTAGTGATAAAGGCGCCTTCCTGCTATCTCAGTTTTGCCACGTGCTGACGAGGGTTAGAATCCCGGCGGTGTATTCAGCCAGTTAAAGCAGATTTCATTATTTTTATTTTTATTTTTTTTACCGTGTCCTGTCTGGCTGTGAAGCAAGCAGAATTGATGTCTGAATGCTGGTGACAAGCCTTACAGATTTATTCTCAGGTGGAGCATCAAAGCGTTTGCTTTTAATGTCACGCCTGATACTTAAAACTTTATTGTTATTGTTGTTGAATGCTTTGTAATTCCGACCAGACACGGAGACAGAGGTGAAAGAGAAAGGAAGAGATAAGGTGGAGAGAGAGGAGGAGGAGGGGGGGGGGGGGGGGGGGTTCCACAAAAATAAACAATGAACAAGAGTCTGCTTCTAGACCTGCAGAAAAAGAAAACAAAACAAAACAAAAGGACACAAAAAAGGGACACAACAACAATACAACAAGATCTACCTATCACTGCGTCAACTTGATGAAAAAAAAACAAAAAAAATATATATATAATCAACATTGCTTAACTGAAGAATCACGATAATAAATCACAGTGCATTAAGTGCCCACCATAGTCTTAAGACCTGTGTTTAACATACCCAAGCCCATACTTTTGAGAGCACCATGTGAGCACCTGTGTGTGTACACGCGCTTGTTTATGTAAGGTTTCTCTATAGGAGCGTCCAACAGAGAGTGTGAGGGACCACAGATCCGCCCCCCAAAGATGCGCAGGAGACGGGGGGAGCTCCAAGTCCCAGAGATCCAGGCGTTGCCCCAGAATGCAGGAACCCCAAGGAGACTGAAACCAGAAAGGCCCCCGCCCCCCTCGAGAGGCACAGAGGATCGCCCCGGGGGGCCACAACCAGCAGCCGGCAGAGTCCCTGGAGATATCAGCGGCAAGCCCACAGGCCCGCCCGCAGCCTGCCACCCCCTAGCCGGCCGAGCCCGGGACCCAGCGACCCGGGACCCAGGGGCGACCACCCCCGCCGGGGACCCAGCAGAGCCCAGGGACCCAGACCCCACCAGGCAGCCACCGGGATCTATCAGGCAGATGCCAAAATCTTAAACCCCCAGACCCGGTTGCCACGAACACTCAGGCAGACCATGGCACAAGCCCTCACACCAGGTGTGGCAGGGGGAGGGGGGACAAAGATCTATATCATCAAGAGAAGTTCCAGGAGAGGGGAGGACCCAAAGGCCCCACCTGACATATACAGTCATACACAAACACAGTCACACACTCCCTCCCTCATGCTCACACATGCACATACAACCCAAGACTTACAAAAATGCACGCCGGACACTCACTCATGCTCCCCATACACACCCTATTAACTCTGGTCCCGGTACTGCTGCACATGGGGTACAACCATCACCGGTAACCAGAGTTTGACCCTTTCTGCTGGGGTGCTGATGAGCAGACTCCCCCGCCCAACGCTGAGCACAGCAACCCACCACCCCAGACCCCAACCAGACGGCCAGATCTCCCTCCTAGCCTCCAGCCCCAGAATCCTAGCAACAACAGAGGTGGCCAAGACCCCTAGTCTCCCTCCACCTGCTCCAATATAGTGTTGTGTGATCATGAGGTGTATTCCATGGCTGTGGTGAGTGGGCAGTGCGGGCATCATCCGGCATATGCCAGCTGATGCCACCGCACCACCCCACTTACACCCTCAGCCATCAGTGTCTAAGTGCGGTTTAAAATTGGAAGTGGGCACCGGCACTCGGGAGGAGGCTGAAATATCCCCCTGCCAAATGCCGTTGAATGTGCTCACTCCCAAGGCCCTAAGTGTGTGTTTGTGTGGAATGTCGTCAGTGGAAGTGTATAAGGTGCAAATAAAATTGGGGGGCAGGTTGCCACAGGAATGCGGAAATGGGGTCCATACCCGCACTCCCTGACTTGCCCACCCACCAAGGTCCAATGTGTATGTTTGTGTGATGATGTGAGGGAGCAGGAGGAGAGAAATATGCGGGGATGGGGAGGAATGGCTGGTTGGGCTTAGCCCTCCAGGGAGCCAGCTCCCCCACTGGCCCCAATAGGCACCTCTGTTGTCAAACTGCCACCCAGGGCATGGAGACCCCAGCCCATCCTGCCAGGGCCCAAAGCAGCAGCATTACAGAGCCTCACGGAGTCTGAGGGCACCAACCCAGCCCCATCCCAGCAGAATATCTATGCCCACCCCTGCATTTGCACAACTTCCAGAATATATAAAACATGGGACATCCAGGTAAGGTTTGGTCCTCCCCCTCCTGGACCTCCCCCTCCCCTGTGATGGAACGGCAGAGGAGCCAAGGTCTACCTGATGCCCCCGAACCCGGGCCAGGCACTGCTGCGTGTTCCTGCCTTCTTCCCGGCAGCATACATGTCAGGACCCGACCCCCAAGGCCCCGCCCAGATCCCCACACGGGGCCGGCCACCCCCAAGATTTCATGTTTTTATATTTTAGTTTGATTGATTATTTTCTGTAAAACGTTTGTGTTTTTAAACATCTTTGAATGTGGTCATTTCCATGCAGCATTTTAGTTGGTTCACTCTGCTCACCTCACATGGACTCACACTGGCTAAAAAAACAGAGAAAGTAAAAACAAAAAACAAGCAGATTAGTCCTTATATTTGAAACCGTTTACCAATAAAGTACTGAAAACAACAAGTGCAGCTGTAAAAGAAGGAAAAAGCTACTGCTCAGACTGGGATGTGACACACACACTGACCACTAGACCTCTAAGACGGTGTTTCCAAACTTCTTTTGACTTGTGGACCCTTTGAGCTGTTTTCGTGTAACGCAAGTACCCTCTTAGTCAATCCTGTTGAAGATTCCCCAAAAGTAGAACGTACAACTGATTATTAAATGAAAACCTCCATAACGCTGAACCACGTCTCACTTCTTGTCTGAATCAGGTGAATTATTTTACTTTAACAATCCCTATGCAGGGTCCAGAAAGAAAAGACTCCATGTGGAAACTTTCTGGAGCTCTGCATCCGCACCACAGCAGGTGTAAATGCTCTGATTGGACTCAATGATTTCTGATCCATGTGAAACAGAATCGCATCCATTCTGCAGTTGGTGTGATGGCGGCTTCAGGCCCTCTCTCAGTAGCAGCTGCAGCCCTGCTCTGGTTTTCCTTCATGTAGTGCTTCTAAACCTTAGTCTTCAGCACCCCTGTGTCATGGGTCGAGGTGAGTCCTCCCCGCTATAACCTATCTCTGAGTTTGTTTCCAGGTGGGAGTGGTGGAGAGTCATCGGCTGTGTTCAATCTGGGATCACCTGGTTAGAGTTTAAAAGGAGGACTGAGACAACACTATGCCGGATGATACTAAAATTTGGGTATTTCCAGCCAACTGAGAAACATCCCTAGGTTTTGTGGTGTTCAATTTGAACTCTTGTTGTAGGGTTTTGTTCAGCAAATTTTTCTCTTGCCTCAGGTTCTTGCTTGTGATCAGTGCTGAAGAACCACAATAACCCTCTGGAGCACCTCAGGCCATGTCCTTCCTCCTCTCTGACCGACCCGCTCTTCCACTGCTCCTGGGCTCAGGATTAACTCAGCCCAGAAGCCCCTCCCCTATTCTCGCTTCCCTGGCCACCCCGTGCTGATTCTTCATGTCTTGGGTCAGAGCCCTGCCCCCAACCATGATACCCTGTCCTACAGGTTTCAGGTGTTTACCAGTTTCCACAGATCTGATCTAAATGAACGAGTGATTAACAGGTTTCTGCCGCACTTGATGTCATCCTGAGAAGACAATGGAAATATATAAATCAGGAGGATTGAAACAGAGACATGGAAAACATGCAGACTAGGGGGGTATTTGATTAAAAACTTGTTTATAAGTCATTTGGCCAGGAATGGGCCATATGGCTAAAATCTATATATCACAATATAGTCTTTTCTTTTATTTATTTATTTATGTTAAAATGACTGTTTTTTACATTCTCGCATATCAGATGAATTTCAGCAGAACAAATACTTCTAAAAATGATTGAAGTTCAAACTTATTTTAAAAAATACAAAACCTTTCAGGTAGTTTTTATGTTGTTATGATTCATTCTCCAAACAATGCAACACAAAAATCCTCATCAAATCAATAAAGATGAAGACATTTAAATGCGATGAACATTATTAGTAGTTTGAATTGAAGTGAAAAAGGTAAAACCGAAACATTTCTTCCTACTTTCCTCATTCATTTAATCACTTCATGTTTTTTGTTTTCTCATAGAAGAGTGCTGCTTCACTAGTGAATAACTGCAGGTAAATGATGCTTTGCTTGAGCGTTTTTAATGAGCGAAGCAGCTGGTGTGTTTATCATGTGTTAAAAAAACGGCATTTAGGAAATTAGTGTTAACGAGCTATCAACGCAGATACGAGGACTGAGGATGTTTCTCTGTTCAACATCAGCTCCTGAAACCCAACCTAGGCCTGTTTAATTGACGTTACCCCATCTTCAGTATTCCTTAATCCATGCACTCTGCAT